ATCGAAGGTAGAGCTTTTTCTATGAATATACATTTTAAATTCATAGAATTCTTTGGATTTTTAGACAAGTTCAAAAAATTTGAATTGACTTCCGTCCGAAGTTTTACTCTCTCTCTGCTCCCTTTTTGTGTATGGTGGGAAAATGATTGCAGTTCTTTGTTGTGGAGAAACTATTTCATTTGGGGTAACCTATTTCCATGACAGTCACAATGAAATGGAGGATTTATGAAATTCTAAATATACTCGAATTATTGCGAGCTTTCGGTGATTTCGTTTGGCAATTTTTCTATTAAAATTATCGAATAGAGCGATCATCAATATTTTACCATTCAATAAAATGTATTTATTATTTATACATCTTTTTGATTTCCAATATGGACCTTGGTCATTGTTTCCAATGCTTCCATTGTTCCCTGAAACATACATATGTACTCATATTGTTATTTTTTTTTTTTTTTGTTATTTATTTTCATGCATATTTATTATGTTAATATTCATATGTTTTTTAATATAGTCATCTCATAATTTCAATTAAATATATTTGATTGTATTTCCTGTATTTATTCAAAGTTTTTCAATATTATTGTAAACTATTTAAAATAATTATATTTCTACCTATTTATTTATGGTATATTGACATTGGTTTGGGTATAACATGGCCCATAAATTAATTATAACGTTTGTTTTTTTATGATTAAAATAAAAATGCAGCATTAACCCATTGGGGGGAAATTGGAAATTATGGGGTACTTTAGAGTAAGGTTGATTCTTTCGATTTGTAATATAAGAAAACAAGTAAAAAACATTAAGTTCTGTCGGGCCGAACTTTTAATACCCTCCATCTCAGGGTAAAGGAAACGTTTTTATATAAAAGTATCCGAATTGAAGTGTGTTTCACATTAAACTTCATATACCAGTAAGACCGTTAAACTTAGAAAAAAAAACCACAAAGTGTGTGTGGCCGTTATGTGGGGGATATAAAAACAAGAACCTCTATGAACAATTTTATACTTCAAGGATTGTAATCTATCAAATCTTCTAAAATACCAAATTTGAAACAATTAAGTATAACAAAACGTGGACTTATACCCATTATTATACTAGAAACCATTATGACCTACAAAGACTAATTTTTAGACAAATTTGTGGAAAAAATATGGCGAAAAACATCAAAATATCGAATATCGGGAGGTACCGTTATATGGGGGCTATACCAAAACGTGGGCCTATACATACAATGTTTCGCCACACGAGCTGGAAACCATTACGACCTACAAATTCCAATTTTTAGACAAATCGAGAGGTACCGCTATATGGGGTCTATACCAAAACGTGGACCGATCATTTTCAATACCAACCATCCTACCAACACAATACAAATTGTTCTGCTAAATTTTGACGCTCAACGTCAAATAATGTGGACTGTGTCGTGATTTCAACAGAGAGCCGGACATCGTTAAATCGATTTAAAATTTTATGCTGATTATGAATATATATAGGTGGGGTCCATGACGAATATTTATGGATGTTAAGAACGGAATGACAAAGTTAATATATCCTCCTTTCCAAGGTGGAGGGTATAAACATATTTTTTATATTTTATTTTTTTATTCAAATTTTAATATTTTATTTGCTATTTCACTGACATTGAATTTGAAAATTTAGAGAAGTGTCTAGTTGGAAGTAGAGGTGACAAGAAATTAAATGTGTTCAATTTCTTACCCAACACTTATTGGACCACCGAAAATTTTATCTGGACTAGAAAAATAAATCGCAGATATATTGAGCCAAAAATATCTTTCAACTACTATAAATCCTATAATTGTGGTTATGTATATATTCCACCATAAAATGAAGGGTGTGCTAAATGTATTTGTAATACCTCGAAATAAAGTCTATCTGTGGAAATCCTGATAGACCACGCCCCATCGAAGGTAGAGCTTTAAAATGTTGCCCAGGCATGGATATTATTCATAGGAAAGCATTAATGGAATAAAATTTTAAATTTTTTATTTTATTAAATGAAAACAAAAATTGTCGCATCAAATTTAAGAATAAATTTAGATTTGTTCGAATTGGTCAACTTTGGCACGAATTGTGGCTTTCAAACGGTCAATGAAACGCTGCCTGAATATTGCTCTGCGATATTTTCGTCCGTTCCCGGCGAAGTGCTTGCTTGAGGTGATCGATAGTTTGGTATTTTTTATTGCCAACCTTGTTTTACAAAATACTCCAGACACAATAGTCCAACGGATTGGTATCAGGAGATTTTGGTGGCCATTGTGCGCTGGAAATATAGCGAGGAACCTCTTTTTTTAACCATTCTTGGGTGGTGCTGAGTCCTGTTGGAATTTTCAAGGTCTGCGGCCAAAAGTTTGCCTGCCAAACGCTTTAATACACCCTCCAGAATATTTTCGCGATAATATTGGGCATTTATTCTCATGCCACGGTCAATTAATACGAGCGGAGAGTGACCATCGGCTGTTATGGCGGCCCACACCATCACCATGGCCGGTGCTTAAGTTCTAGTGGCCAGGACATTTTCAGCTGACCTCTTTGGCAAGTAAACATGATCATATTGTTTGTTTACAAACTGCTGGACAACGAATGTTTTCTCATCGGAGAAAACCAAATTCGGCAGATCACAAGTTTTGTCCAAGCGAAGCAACTCTTTAGCCCTTTTGAGCCTATTTTCTTTCAGTTGCAGTGCAAGTTATTGCACTTTTTGGAATTTCAATGCCATTACCCCGAGTTCATTTTTCAGTATTTTCCGAATAGAATATTGCGATATGTTTAGCTCTTGAGCCATTTTTCGGCCACTGTGATGCGTGTTTCGATCAAGTCGCTTTTTTACTTTTCGAACTATTTCTGCTGATTTGCTGTTTTCCTCCGTCCACTTCCTTGACGCCGAGCTACGCTACCAGTATCACGGTTACGAGCGATGGTACGAGACACAAAAGACTTATTTACATTTAAATGCCACGATAGCCACTTGTTGGTTTCTAGCCAAATATAAAGAATTCACTCTATTTTTTCCTGAAAATTCTCACCAATATGCTTTTGTACGCTTGTAAACAATATAATGAGTTGTCTCTGGAATAACTTTAACAGTTGTCGGACGAGTGACTTAGAAATGACAGCAGTCTTAAATTGATTGCAGTTTTTTCATCTCACACTGTAGGCCTTTATATCTGCTCCTCCATATTTGTGGTATTTTAGAGGTTTCCATCCTATTTTTTGGTACCAATTTCAAACCAAATAACCTGCAATTAGACATTTTGGGTTTTGGTTCCCTATTTTACAGACCATTCAATATTTTCATGACAAGTTTTGGGGATAATGGTTTGACCAGAAGTTGGGTGTTTGAATGTTTGGTTGTTTTTATTTCTTGCGGATTGTTTATACCCTAAAGGGCTAAATACATAAGAAGCTTGAAGTCATGGCTAGGCATATTAATGTCAAATTATAATGGAAAACGACGGCTGGATTTTAGTGCGGCTCTGTAATCCCTTTGTGAAATGTCACAAAATATGCCTAGCCATGACTTCAAGCTTCTTATGTACTTAGCCCTTAAGTTATATGGCTACATACATGCTAGATATCTACCAACTATAAACCTTATTTGAATACGTAGCATGGCTATAGAGTGTGTGCTATCACTTTGAGAAAAATATATGTAGACATATTTATCGGGGCCGAGATTCACAAAATGGAAAAATTCTGTTGAATGCGGAAAAATCTTACCGATAGCTCATCCTATGAAAGTATATATGGAAGCTATATCCAAGTTTGAGCCGATTAAGATAACATTTGGAAGTAGTATTTCGGAGGCCTTTGAGATATTTTGTTCATTTTTTTCAGAGAATTAAGTTGGCAAAAAGTCTTCAAAGTATTTTAAAGTGTATGCCATCGATTTTCTGATGCAAATTTGAAAAAAAACATGTAGCTAACATCGGCAAAATACCAAATATTCGGTGGTACCGAAATATGGGTAATATAAGAAAACCATAGGCTTGTGTAATAACTCGCATTGAAATAAAAAAAATTAAGATCAAACAAACAAACGGCAGCTTCTATATATCAATGATAACGATTCTACCCCTAGCCTTTTTTCTTTTGATTGATTAAGTATATCCGATGCAGTACAAACTTGATATCTCCATTACCCTTAAGTGCGGTACGAAATTATATAATATCAACTCACTCCCTTCGGTATCTCCTTCATAAAAGGTGACCCTTTCGAATGACGAAAACATAAATTTCGCATTCATTTTATAGCGTCCTAACAAAATTGGTTTCCTTGGCCTCGGATGTTTCAATTATCGACTTCTCCGCTCTACTTCTACGAAATATCATTGCCCACAATATTATTTTAAAGGGTTATATGAATTCCTCTACCCAGCTGCTCGGTCCTTCCAGCCAGCCAGTTGGAGTCTTGGTAATTGGTAGTTTTACAGCCATTAGAGTTCACTCACATCGCCCAGTGAACTGGTTACAATTTCAAGCATAAAGAAATCATTATTGATAATTATCAACAATGCGTGCAAAATTGCCAACGTTAACATAAAATTGCAAATGGAACAACGCCAGCAGCCAAAGTCGAAACAGTGGCAATGGCAGTAGCAACGACAGCAATGGCAATAACGCAGTAGGCCAAACGGCAGTTCAATACAATAATTGCTTTTTTCATGGATTCAATTCGATTCGATATCGGCTGAAAAATATTTATGTATATGAAATATTACCAATAATTTGTTTTATGCATAATCGAATTGTATGCATTAATGTGTGTGTGTGAGTGCGAGTAGGTTTGAAAACTTTAACTGAGATTTAAATCAAAAATATAAATTAAAAAAAAAATCAAATTAAAAACGCTGGGTGATAAGAACAAAAAATAATTTAGTTATTCATTTTTTTTCCGAAGTAAATATTGCAATAAAAGGTGGATCTTGAGTTCCGGAGAATATTCACATATATATACTCCAAGCTACACTACAGAAATGCCCTCTGAGGGCAGCTACTCTACAGTTATTGCCTTTGAGACTAGCTACTCTACAGTCGTGGCCTCTGAGGCCAGCTACTCTTCAGTAGTGGTCTCTGAGGCCAGCTACTCGACAGAAGTGGCCTCTGGGGACAGCTACTCTCTAGTAGTGAGCTCTGAGGACAGCTACTCGACAGAAGTGGCCTCTGGGGACAGTTACTCGACAGAAGTGGCCTCTGGGGACAGTTACTCGACAGAAGTGGCCTCTGGGGACAGTTACTCGACGGAAGTGGCCTCTAAGGACAGCTACTCGACAGAAGTGGCCTCTGGGGACAGTTACTCGACAGAAGTGGCCTCTGGGGACAGTTACTCGACGGAAGTGGCCTCTGGGGTCAGCTACTCTACAGTAGTGGCCTCTGAGGCCAGCTACTCGACGGTTGTGGCCTCTGAGATTAGCTACTCGACAGTAGTGGCCTCTGAGGCCAGCTAATCGATAGTAGTGGCCTCTGAGGCCAGCTACTCGACAGTAGTGGCCTCTGAGGCCAGCTACTCGACAGTAGTGGTCTCTGAGGCCAGCTACTCGACAGTAGTGGTCTATGAGGCCAGCTACTCTACAGTAGTGGCCTCTGAGGCCAGCTACTCTACAGTAGTGGCCTCTGAGGCCAGCTACTCTACAGTAGTGGCCTTTAAGGCCAGCTACTCTATAGTAGTGGCCTCTGAGGCCAGCTACTCTATAGTAGTTGCCTCTGAGGCCAGCAACTCTGTAGTAGTGGCCTCTGAGGCCAGCAACTCTGTAGTAGTGGCCTCTGAGGCCAACTACTCTGCAGTAGTGACCTCTGAGACCAGCTACTCTACAGTATTGGCCTCTGAAGCCAGCTACTCTACAGTAGTGGCCTCTGAGGCCAGCTACTCTACAGTAGTGGCCTCTGAGGCCAGCTACTCTACAGTAGTGGCCTCTGCGACCAGCTACTCTACAGTAGTGGCCTCTGCGACCAGCTACTCCACAGTAATGGCCTCTGAGGCCAGCTACTCTACAGTAATGGCCTCTGAGGCCAGCTACTCTACAGTAGTGGCCTCTGAGGCCAGCTAATCTACAGTAGTGGCCTCTGCGGCCTGCTACTCTATAAAAGTCTCTTCCCAGATCAAACTACCGGATAGAAGTGGTCTCTCAGACCAATCTTCTTTATATCAGTGGCCTCTGGAATCAGCTGATCTATAGTGGTGGCTTCTCAGACCGGCTGCTCTATAGTGGTGGCCTCTCAGACCAAGCTACTCAATATTAGTTACCTCTGGGGTCAGCTTCTCAACATTAATGGCCTCTACCAGTGACTACTTTTTTGAGTGATATCTGAGAAGAACTTAGCTATAGTATTAGCCTCTGGAACTAGCTTTTCTATGGGATTGACCTCTGATACCATCTTTTCTGCAATAATACAAATAATTTACATAAAATACCAAAACCAACCCCATTCCGTCGCTCACCTTTAAAAATTCCTACAAAGAACCATAACTAATATTATTTTCCCTTTTCGATAACAATCTTACCTGATGTTAACGGAAATTAAACACCAAATGCATCTTTAACACCACCACCGTACGTACACCAAAACATGTATGAAGAAATAACACGTAAATGTTATGTAATAGGCCTGCAAAAAGGAGAAAAAATTCAAAACACATGAAATGTTTTACTTTTCACGGTTTTGTATTTTTTCGTGCCTACATTGCTCTAGGGCTATCAGTGCGAAACCCGAAAAACGTGTTTTAATCCAAATATTAAAATTGTTCTGCTTATTTTGCTTTTTTTTTTCAGCTACCTAAATACATGAAATCGTGTTTGCATGTAGATATTTTTAAATAAACATCTGATAGCAGATTGAAACGATACCGAAGAGGAAATGAAACGAGAGCCTAGAAGCACACGTTTGCCTTGAGGCAAAGTATATTCTTTTTTTAAAACGTATACCACCACAATTTTCAATATTGCCCCAATGACACCCCAGTCATCCCATTATAAGAAACGAATTTGCCTTGCTTCAATCATTCCCATGAAAATTTACAACTGCAGCCTGAAGGCCATTATTGGATTATGACAGATATTAAGTTCCAAGTCATAATCAAAAAAGGCATTCGGTAAACACCACCTTTCGCAAAGTTGACACATCAAGGGGTAGGTAATGTTTGTTTAAAGGGGTTGATAAATTACCACAAATGCATTGTGAGCAAAAAACGCATTGGGCTGTGACTTTTATGTTTTTTTTATACCCTACACCACAAGGTGGTCAGGGTATTATGTCTTTGTGCATTTGTTTGTAACAGGCAAAAGGAAACGAGATAGACCCATAGTTCCTTTTGATGATCTGCATAAAATCACTTTCTGAGTTGATTTATGCATGTCAGTCCGTCTGTCCGTCCGTCTGTCCATGTATTCTTGTGAACAAAATGCAGGTCGCATTTATTATCCGATTGAGATGAAATTTTGCAAACAACATTTGTTTGGCCCAAGGACGAACCCTATTGAAATTGGAGATAATCGGTAAAAATTTAGATATAGCTACCATATATATCTTCGTCCGATTTGCTTTAATTGTGCACCAAAGGTGTAATATCAGCCCGAATAGTATGGAATTTTGCACATACAACCAAATTAGGCCTGAAAATAAGTGTGCCGAATTTGATCGAAATCGGTTCAGATATAGCTATAGCTCCAATATATATATATTGTTCATCCTATTCGTTATTTTAGTCCTTCGCAGCCGTAATATGCACTCTGTAACAACAATATTTGGGAAAATACATCAAATGCAGCTCAGAAATACCTTTGCTAAATTTTAACGAGATCGGTTCTGATTTGGATATATCTTCCATAAATAACTTCGTCCTATTTACCATTTATTGTGCATCAAACGTCTAATATTTGTCCAAATGGGATGGAATTTGGCACATACGACCGAATTTAGTCTAGAAGGTAGTATGCCAAATTTGGTGAAGATCGGTTCAGATATAGTTATAGCTCCCATATATATTGTTCATCCGATTTATTGTATTTGTTACCCACAGCCGTAATATGCACTCCGTAACAACGATATTCAGGGAAATATATCAAATACAGCTCAGATATATCTTTGCCAAATTTTATCGAGATCGGTTCAGATTTGGATATAGTTCCCATATATATTTTTATCCGATTTCAAATTAATTTCGCACCAAATAGTCAATACAAGTCCGAATTTAAAAGACACAAATGCTTCGGCATATTTAGTCTTTGAATTTTAAATTATAATTATAATCATAGCGTGTATGATTGAATTCTCCCATAAAAACTTTTAAGTATTAAGTGGAGCTCAACTAAATAAGCAAAGTGGTGTAGGGTATCATAAAATCGGCCCCGCCCGACTTTAGGACTTTCTTTACTGGTTTAGTTTGAAACATGGAGAAGGAAGCGAGATAGACCTATAGAAACTTTTGAGGATCTTCATAGAATCACTTACTGAGTCGACTTATGTTGAGTCCGTCCGTCCGTTCGTCTGTCTATGTATTCTTGTGAACAAAATGCGGGTCGCATTTATAGTCCAATTGAGATGAAACTTTCCAAACAATATTTGTTGGCCAAAGGACGAACTCTACTGGTCCAAGGAGGAACTCCGACCGAATTCGAATCGGTTCAGATATGGCTATAGTATTGTATTTGTATGTATTTTTCATTCGAGTTGGGGTTTTAAGTCCCTCCAGAAGAATGATATTTGGTACCGGATTTCAAATACTGCTCGAAAATACCTCTTTCAAATTTTATCGAGACGGGTTCAGATTAGGATATAGGTCCCATATATATATATATATATATCTTTATCCGATACCAGGTTATTTGTGCACTAAACGGCCTAAATGGACCGACTTTTGGCAATTACGACTGAATTCATCCTATAAGCCAGTACTTCAAATTTGGTGTAAATCGCTCCCATATATATGTTTTATCCGATTTTGGGGCTTAAAGTCCCTCACAAGCGTAATATGCATTCCTCAACCATGCTCTTTGGTACCAAATATCAGATACAGGTCCGAAATAATTGTATTAAATTTTGTCAAGATCCGTTCAGATTTGAATATAGCTCCCTTATATATCATTAACCGATTTCGGGTTAATTGTGCACCAAGTGCCTAATATCATCCCAAATGACATGAGTTTTTGGTACACCCGATCTAATTCAGTCTAGAAGCAAGTACATCACATTTGGAGAAAATCGGTTCAGATATAGCTAAAGCTCCCCATAAATATAAGTTTCATCCGATTTGGTCTTTAAGTCCCTCACATTCGTAATTTGCATTCGACAACAAGATACTTGGTATCAGATATCTTATAGAACTTGGAAATACCTATGCCACATTTCATCGAGGTCGGCTAAGATTTGGATAAAGCTTAAATATATATCCATTAATCAAATTTCAGGTTTATTCTGCAAATAATGGCTTATATCAGCCCATATGGAGTAAATTTCGGAACGTACGTTTCTATTTGGCGGAACTCGGCTGCGATATATATTTTTTGATATAATCCTTCTCGAAGCGATATCATGCATTCTATGGGGTAAAATAAAAAAAAAAAAAACTACAACAAACTTCAGACTGCTGTCATTTCTAAGCCACTCGTCCGACAGCTGTTAAAAATATTCCGACGACAGCTCATTATATTGTTTATAAGTGTACAAAAGCATTTTGCTGAGAATTTTCCAGAAAAAAGTTATTCGTGATGGAATTCAAGCGTGACAGTGTGATTTCTTTATATTTGACTGGAAAACCACAAATGGCCATCGTTAGAGCGCTCCAGCATTTAAATGTAAATAAATCTTTAGTGTCTCGTACCATCGCTCGTTACTGTGATACTGGTAGCGTAGTCCGACGTCAAGGAAGTGGACGGAAGAAAACAGCAACATCAGCAGAAATGGTTCGAAAAGTATAGAAGAGACTTGATCGAAACCCGCGTCGCAGTGGTCGAAAAATGGCACTTGAGCTGAACATATCGCAATATTCCATTCGCAAATATTGAAAAATGAGCTCGGGGTAAAGTCATTGAAATTCTAAAAAGGGCAAGAACTTACACTGCAACAGAAAGAAAAAAAGTCAAAAGAGCTAAAGAGTTGCTTCGGTTGACCGAAAGTTGTGAACTGCCGAATTTGGTTTTCTCCGCCTCCGATGAGAAAATATTCGTTGTCCAGAAGTTTGAAAACGGACAAAATGATCGTGCCTACTTGTCAAAGAGGTCAGCTAAAAATGTGTACCCTTGGTTGGCCACCAGAACTCAAGCGCCGACCATGGTGATGGTGTGGGCCGCCATAACAGCCGATGGTCGCACTCCGCTCGTATTAATCGACCGTGGCATCAGAATAAATGCCGAATATTATTGCGAAAATATTCTGGAGAATGTATTAAAACCTTGGACACGCAAACATTTCGGCCGCAGACCTTGAACATTTCAACAGGACTAGCACCATC